ACACCACCTCGTAGTCCATAACAGACATATTACCCTGCTCCAGATTCTGAAACTCCTGGCGTCGTTCCTACATATATCTTTCCCCAATATAGCGACTTCGGAAATGTTTCTTGAAAAGATCCCATGTTAACTGGTTCCTCGGAATACTACCAGAAATCAATTGCCACAATCTGAAGCTTTCTTTCTTCAACATAGTTAGGGCCCTTTTTAACTTCTGCTCAGGCCTCAGATCCATCTCATCCATAATCCTCTCTATGTCCTCCAGCCAATACTCAGCGTCTGTCGGAGGTCCACCAGTAATACCCTCGAATGTAACTACACCAGCAACGACCAAAGAATTCGAAATCTCCACTGCAGTCATATTACTAGGGGCTCTGACAGCTCTCTGAAACATACGAAATATAGCTCTATTAATGGCGCCTTCATTCATGTCAGTATCCTCATCTCCAGTGAGGGGAGGGTCTCTCACTGGAGTAAACTGATCATAATGAGAAAGGGTCGGATCTACTTGCAGAACAGGAGGATCACGTGGTGACACCAGATCATCTATCGTAACAGAAGGTCGAGTGACTCACCCTCGACCACGGCCACGCCCTGTCCTACGACCTCTAGCAGCACTCATCGTTGGATTTATAAGGCTCTACAGAAAGAATTTGGAATATATGTCAGATTAGCATCAAAGATCTCGAGAAAACTTTAAATCATAAAATAAGGTGACACGTTTTTTTTCTTTCAAAATTTCTTAAAAATTCAAAGTTTAGGACCCATATACAGTCCGAGTGTTTAAAACTGAAAGCTCTGATACCACCAAATGTAACCCCTAAACCCGGTTTGTACGCTAAACCAAACCTAAGTGGTCACATATCATATTCAGATATTCTTTTTATATTTAAAACAACTTATAAACATTAGAGGTAGTACGGAACAAAATATCGATAATACAAATATATTCAGAACGATAGCAAAATACATGTCACCAAATATAATTGGAAAACATATAGAGAAATATGTTCGTACAAAATAAAAGTAGTTGATCTCCCCTGATGCCGAATCTGCTAACTTACAGTCTGCTGTTATCTGAAAAGGGTAAAATTTACAGAATGAGCTAAAAAGCATAGTGTGCTCCATACAATATATAAAAAACATACAGATAAAGTCTTTCAATCAAATCAGTTTATGCAACGGTTTTTATTTTTAAACATGAACACTACCCCCATCCGTTCACATCATAAATGTGTAAATTCCCCAGAACCATACACCCAACCGCATATGCCATTTAGACCCTGAGCACAAAGCCGAGGAGTCTGCAGATAATCTTCCTCCAACAATACCCCCAATGACAATATTAAACATGAATGTATTCGAGTGAAAACAATGATTAATTACTTAAAACATAAAATCGTTTCATGCTTGGAAACCATATGTAGAAATACGGAAATCAAAATTCAGATCAATATTATATGGTAATTCATATGTCAGATAATCAGATTTCAGAAATCGGTATAAAATACCTTAATCCAAAAATTATATCAGAATATGTGGTAAATCAGATATCAAATACTCAGTATTTAGATGAATAGTTTAAAACAGTAATGTAACACTGTCAGGAAACACACCTGTAACAGTCTGAGAATCAGATAGGGAAACCTACTACTGGTCCGTCGATCACGCTCTGCTGCAGCGCTAGATCTTACGAATTGGAAAAATCCATATTGGAATCCTAATATAAATAATCTTAATATTTATTTAAATAATTTAAGGAAACCTACTAGTAATTCTCGTAGTGTGCGGTTCGAGCTGATCTGACGAACGGACAACACCGGACCTAACTGATCCTCGCTCAGGTGAAACATGAGTACCTTCATAATATCTTACTGAATCAATTCCTTAACCATATCTCCAATAAATAATCAAAAATACTAAAATACTAAGCATTTTTGGGTTAACAAGCTCGATTTGGGAATTTCGGGTCAGAATTTGGCAAAACAGACTTCAGAATCAGACTCAGGACATCGAAAAACATAAAATATAACCTTCTGAAAATTTGAATTCTTGGTCAAAGTCAAAGCCAATGAGTTTGACTCATAATTTGGAGGCTTTTGGGTTCGAATTTGGCGAAACAGATCCCAAAAACGGATTCGGGACGTCAAAAAATGTCAATATGGATATACTCAAAAAACGTCAACGGCCGTTTAATGGTCGGTCAACGCCGGTCAAAGTTCTGGTCAAAGGAGGTCAACAGACAATCAACCATTTTACACAATTATCATCCTAATAGAAATTAATTACAAAACTAACACCCTTTTAACATTATTTACAAAACTAACACCCTTTTTTAAATATTTACAAAACTAACACCCGGTCAACGGTTGAGTCGGGTCAGACCGTAAAACCGGTTTAAAGTCGGCCGAGACTTCCCCAGCGCAGTGGCGGCGCGTGGGACACTTTCCGGCATCGGAAAAATTACAGAAAAATTCCTAAAAATTATTTTAAGCGATTTTGAGGCACTTACAAAGCTCGGTTCACAATTTTGAACGGTGGAGAGCACGATTTCAACAAATCGGAAACTTTGACCGCTTCACCTCCTCACGCGCCGCCGCCGACGGAGACAAGGAGGACACTGACAAACTCAGAATGACACAAGGAACACGATGGTGCGGGAGGTGTCGAAAACAGAGAAACGATCGGCGATAAATTTAAGATTTTCTCGGCGATGGTGCTAAAAAAACGTCGAGACTTTGACCTGAAATTCATGGCGTTTGGCAGCGTTTCACTTCAATTAATTTAAGGGTTTATTCCTCGCTCGATGATGAACACAATGGTGGTTTCAAAACGACGATCGGAGGTCGAATGACGTCGGGATTGTGTTTGGAAGTTGGGCGTTGAATGATGAAAATTTGTGAAATTGGTTTCTGCGGAAACCAATTTCACGCATTAATAACCAAAGCCTGCCGACACTCTTAGGGTAAATTCAGGACTTGGTGCCTGAATTTCCTTCATCTCTAAAATAGGTTACAAGTTTTGAGAACTTTTAATTTAGTCTCCAATTTACACATATATATATTTTTTTATTTTTCCAGGTTGTTACACCATGAAACTTGTTGATCACTCATTGACCACGTCCAGGTAAGTAAGTTTCAAGGTTGTTAGTTGCCTTTTATTTATAAAGCCCCGTTCGTGCTCCCTTCTCTTCCTTGGTCAATGTTGGATTGGTGCTTTATCATAAATAGTCCCGTATCTGAATTTTTCCTACTGAATTTAGAAAATAAATATCTCGCATTTAAACAGCAACTACACATTGGAACCATTGAAAGCTGTGATGCTTCTGAATGGGCTGTGTTAATTAATTAGTAAGTCGGGTTTTCTTATTCATCTGTGTTGTTGCCTATTGCATAATTATCAAGGAGAATTTGGTTCAAGTCTCAAGCTCTTCGAATCAGTCTTCAACTTTTTTGAAAACAATCGGTCTTCTTACAGTGTTCGGAAGTAAGTTGTTGTGTAGGTCAGGAGTTTTCGAATTGCAGCCCCCCTCTCATAGACTTCTCTATTTTCTAGCCATGCTCCCCTAACATTTATAAATTTATTCTGACCCCTTAATAAAAATTCTGGTTTGGTCTCTATATGTATTCATGCCAGTAAAGATCAAAGTAATTTGATGGAATCATACGGATACTTAAATATTATTAGGGGAGAGCATCTGGTTTGATCTTGAAGCAGCAAAGCAAATGGCAACTACTGTAATTATGCTTACATACTTTGTCCTAACGAAAGGAATGAAGTGCTTTAGCTTACCTTAAAGTGTGAGACACAACAAAGTAAATAAATTAAAGTGATATAGGTCCACAGAATAATCATTGATTAAGGCAAAAGAAAGAAACAAAGGAAATTCAAAACTATATTTTCCCCAAACAACTTAACTTAGTTTGGAATATTACATTCTTCCAGAGATTAAACATGAAAGTGTAATTTGTTTATGGTGAGAGAATAATCATGGAGAAAGTGTTTTATTTTTAGTCTCTCATATTATATCATTATCATTATCTAAGCTGAAAGGTAAATGTTCCCCATGGCTACCAGTAACAGATGTATTTCATTCCACTTCATCCGTATTGTTTTCAATATTCTCTTAGCTTGGCTTGGCTAGAACACGAATGGCTTGAACATTTATAAATTCATGCCAGTAAAGGTTATTAGGGGAGAGCTTCTGGTTTGATCTTGTAGCAGCAAAGCAAATAGTAACTACTGTAATCATGCTTACATACTTTGTCCTAAAGAAAGGAATGAAGTGCTTTAGCTTATCTCGATGTTTGAAGTGTGAGACACAACAAAGCAAATAAGTTAAAAGTAATATAGGTCCACAGAATAACCACTGATTAAAGCAAAAGAAAGAGACAAACGAAATTCAAAACTACACTTTCACCAAACAACTTGACTTCCATTGATTAAACATGAAAGTGTAGTTTGCTTATGGTGAGAGAATAATCATGAAGAAAGAGTAATCTTGTTTTAGTTTTAATCTCTTATATTATATCATAATCCAATATGAATTAGTTCTTTTCCTAAAGAGTTTTTAAGAAGGTTGATAGTATGTTTGATTGCACAAGTAAGTTGAGAAGCAAAGAATATGATCCAAAGCTTTGCATGGGGGAGGAGGAAAAGAATGTTCCAATCACTTTCCCCCACTATTTAGCATGAAGGAAGAGATGACACCTTCCTCAATCCTTTCCCATTTCAATTTGATCTCTTGCCATATTACAACAATTAACGTTTCCAGCAGCTCTTTATTTTCTTTCTCAAAGCTTCTCATTTTGTCATTGACCATTGTTTCTCTTTCCCCCCACACCAAACCAAATACACAATTTCCCTTTCTACTGCCAATTCCACACACACCAAAAAAAAAAAAAAAAAACCATTGTAAGCAGACCTGTCGTTGTTTCCTGTTTTGTCATTTTGCTTATTCCGTAGTTGTCTTTCTCTTCTAGCTTAAAGAAGAAGAAAAAATGCAATCTATTGTAAACAGTGCTACCAGTACAGTTGCCGAATACACGTTTGGTGTCATCAAGCGAGGGATTGGGTACATAATATATGTTGACAGCAATGTCCAGGATCTGAAGGAGCAAGTTGGAAACCTGGAAGATGCTCGAGGAAGAGTGCAGCATTCTGTCGATCGGGCCATAAGGAATGCAGAGAAGATTGAAGCGGATGTCCTCAAATGGTTGTCCAACGTTGATAAGAAGTTGACTGAAAACTTTGAGGAGAAATTGAAGAAAGATGAGGAGAAAGCAAAGAAGAAATGTTTCTTTGCCCTGTGTCCGAATGTCAAGTCTCGCTACCAAGTCAGCAAGAAAGCGGTGGACGAGAAGCATGCTATCAGTGAACTCCTGGAACAAGGGAAATTCGACAAAGTTTCGTATTCTCCTCCTATAGAGGGGGTAGTGACCAAAGGTTACAAGGCCTTTGAATCGAGAACAACAACCTTGAAGGGGATTATGGAGGCCTTAAAGGAATCAAGTGTTCGAATTGTTGGAATATATGGGATGGCTGGCGTAGGCAAGACCACGCTTGCCAAAGAAGTTTCTGCCAGAGTAAAGGAGGAGCACTTGTTCGACGAAGTTGCAATGAGCTTTGTCACCGATAATCCAGACATCAGAAAAATTCAAGGAGAAATTGCTGACATGTTAGGCCTGCTTTATGAGAAGGAGACTGTTAGCGGAAGAGCAATGGAGCTACGCGAGCGGTTGAAGACCGACAAAAGGATCCTCATAGTTTTGGATGACCTATGGCAGAAACTTGACCTCGAAGAGGTTGGTATCTCATTGGAGGATGAAGCTGCTAAAGGATCTTCTATTGCAGGATGCAAAATACTGCTGACTTCCAGAAGCCTCGATGTGCTTCGCCTCATGCATGCTGAGAAGAGTTTTGAAGTTGAAATTTTATCCAAAGAAGAATCAATGATTCTTTTTGTAAAAACAGTGGGCAACATATCTGGTGGTTATGAACGCAGAGCGAATGAATTGGTGGAAAAATGTGAAGGGTTGCCGGTCGCAATCTTAGCAATTGCAAACACTTTGAAAGAAAAGGACCTCGCGTCTTGGGATGATGCCTTGCTGCAGCTACGACGGTCAAATCCATCAAACATAGAGGGGATGCAAGACAATGTATATTCTACCATTGAGTTGAGTTACAAATGGCTGAGAAATGAGGAAGCACAATCTTTGTTCCTGATATGCGGCCTGCATCCTCAGAGTTTTGATATCCCTGTCTTTGATTTGCTGCAATATAGCTTTGGTCTAGATCTTTTGGAAGGCATCTACACGCTGGAAGAAGCAAGAAAAAGGATAGATGCACTAGTTCATAAGCTCAAAGCTTCTAGCTTACTACTTGAGGGAAAAGGTTACGAATGGGTGAAAATGCATGATCTTATACGCGATGTTTCCATTTCAATTGCATCAATAAACAAGGGGATGTGGGTCATAAGGATGCAAATCATCTGAAGGAATTGTCGAAGAAGGGGAATCTCAATGGTTGCACAGCTATCTCGTTGCCACACAGCAACATGGCTGACCTTTCTGATGTGGACTGTTCGAATTTGGAGTTACTCATGTTGCTGAATAAAGATCCATCTTTCAGAGTCTCGGAAACTTTTTTCAAAGATATGTATAAGCTGAAGGTGTTAAGCGTGACTGGTATGAGTTTTCGATATTCTCTGCTTTCTTCTTTTCGTTCATTAACAAACCTTCAAACTTTGCGTTTATGTGAATGCAAGTTGTCTGAGATAGCCATCGTAGAGAAGCTAAAGAAATTAGATTTACTCAGCTTTCAAGGTTCCGCCATCACGAAATTGCCAATAGGGATAGCACAATTGACCCAACTAAAGTTATTAGATTTGAGTGAGTGTTATAAACTTAGAGTCATCCCAGAAAATGTCCTAGCAAAATTGTATAGATTAGAAGAGCTACATGTTGGCAATAGCTTTCGTAAATGGAATGTTGGAGGTAATGCTCCACTTGAAGAGTTGAATAACTTATCTTCTTTGTCAACATTAGATGTATCCATTCCGGATGCCAGATGAAGATACTAATTTTTTACCCATATTATTATTATTATTATTATTATTATTATTATTATTATTATTATTATTATTAAATATATATTAAATACATATATAAATAATTAATTATAGGCCCAATTACAACTGGACCGGCCCAGTTACAAACAAACCAGAACCGGTCCAGACCAACCAGAAACCCTAAACATTTGGGGTTTCAGTTAGGGTTTCCTAACCCTAATCCCATGCCAGCCGCCTCTAGCCAGCCGCCTCAGACTGACCGTTGGATCTGGCAAGATCCAACGGTCCAGATGGCTCCAGATGGAAACCCTAGGGTATCATACCCTAGGGCCACGCGGCCGCCGCTGCTGCTCTCGCCGCCTCCGCCGCTGCCACGTCCCATCCGAAGGCTCCAGAAGATCCAACGCCAGCCGTCCACGCCATGGCTACGGGGTGAGTCACCACTGGTAGTCCGGTGACTCACCGAAATCCCCTCTTCGGACCGGTCCGATGGCCACACCGGTGGTGGCTATAAAAGCCACCACCCGAACCTGAAAAAAAAAAGAGGACAGAGAACAGATCCCGGAGAGACGAAACCGAGAAAAAAAAAAGATATACAAAATACTACCAACGATCTCAGCAGCAAAGAAACAGAAAAGAAAGAAAAAGGAAGAAAAGAAACTTACCGAGGAAGCCCCGACCACCGGATCTCACCGGAACCTTCGAAACACCGAAGGTACTTTTATAGATTCGCTCCGATTAGGAGCTTTTTAAGGGAAAAGAACAACGGGACAGTCCTTAGGACGGTCCGATCTATTTAATGGTGGAAAAATAAAATTTTCCGGCCACCAGATGCGGTGGCCGGCGGTGACGGTCACGGCGGCAGACGGTTGCCGTCCGGTGACCGGCTTCCCTCCGGTGAGGGAAGCTAGAGAGAAGGCAAAGAACATTTTTGTTCTCTCTGTTAGAGAGAGAACAGAATTGAAGAAATGAGAAACTGGCCCGTAGGGCCAACCGGCTTAGGGAATAAATACCCTCTCCCAAACGACGTCGTTTTGGGGAGGGTATTTCTGTAATTTCCGTTAAGGTCAAACCCTTTCCGCAGCCATCCGAGTTTTGTAATTATTCATTTTAGTCACTGAAATTAACTTCTGAACGTTGTAATTCAATCTTCGAATTTTAATTTTATTCATTTTAGTCCTTCATATTAAAATAATATATTTAGGATAAATAACAGATTTAATCCTTTAATTTTAATAAATAATATTTTAATCCCTAGTTTATATTTTTAATTTATTTTATTCCAATATCCGAATTTTAGATAATTTTATTTTAGTCACTAAATAAATAAAATAAAGAAATAACATGTTTAATCCCTATAATTTTGATTAATTATGAATTAGGTTTTTAATTTTACTTTTACTATAATTTAGTCATTTATTTTAAATGTTTTCATTTATTTTACTGCTTTTAAATATATCGTTCTAGTTGTATTTTTATTATTTTAATTTTACTTGTTTATATTTTTAAATATTTTTATGTATTCATAAATATATATATAATAAATAAAAATTAATTTTTAAAATAAATTATTTTAATATTTATTTTTCAATATCGAAGAAAAGGACAGTCTTAATACAACTGGATGTCCTATTCTGGTATTTTAAAATTTAATAATTAATTTTTTTAAAAATATTATTTAATTTAAATTAACATTTATCAATATCAAAGAAAAGAGCTGTCTTAAGGCACCTAGAAGCCCTTTTCAGATATTTTTTTTATAATTTTGAAATAATAGGATTATAAATTAAATATATTTTGAAATTTTTAATATTTTTAATAATAGAGACGATTTATAATTAAAAAGTACCAATTTTGGGCGTTGTAGGGGTGCTAATCCTTCCCTAAACGTAATCGACCACGAATCCCTTTTTATTATTAAAAAGAACAAATTTTTGGTTATAAACGTAGATCAGTTCATTTTTTAATTGGTGTTTTCTTAAAACTCTTTTAAAAAATAATTTTTAGGTATTCGACCTACCTGACCCAAAAGGCCGATGGCGACTCCCAAATTATTTTCAAAACCATTTATTCACATAAATTTTCCCGCCAAATTTAAAATTTTCGTGCCCGGACGAAAACCGGTTACGACAGCTTGGCGACTCCGCTGGGGACCGGTCAAACTTTTAAAACTCAATTATAAATTGTCTCTATTAATTAAAAATTAAAAAATTTATATATTTAATTTTTAATTTTTTCTTTTCAAAATTTTTATATTTTCATAATATTTATATGTTTTTATTTTATTTGCAAGTATTTTATTTCAGTATTTATTTTTCTGTCAAAGGTTTGAACATTTCTCCTCACACACAACACTTGCATTGCATAACATAAAGCTCTAAAATTGAGTTGTCCCTTTTAAGTGGGAGTGAAAGCGACGTCTTCGTGAGAATTTATTCTCCGTGTCAGACCTAGCAAGTAACTTTCGGGGTTCATATGCCTTATGTCTTCGTGAGAATTTATTCTCCGTGTCAGGCATAGAGAAATGTATCCCCTCGAATTGAACTCGATCCATTTTAGTCTGTGATGGACTAGGGTTGAGGGTTAGCAACCCAAGGGGGCACTAACAAGGACAATTCGGGTACCTTTATTCTTAGATTTGAAACCCTGCATATAAAAAACCTTAGAAACTCTTCCGATCTGAAGTCATGCCGAAATTTTGTCTAAAATAGGTGTACACATAGGATAAATGAATTCTAACTTTCTAGTTTATTTATTTTCTTTACTGATTAAATTACATGTATATTAAATTTAGAAAAGCATGTTTAAATAAAAAAATATTTATGTAAATGTTATTATTAAATTTCTTTATTATGTAAACTAATTCATTTCTTTTTGTGTGTTTTTTTTTATTTTCTGTTTGCATAGCATCATACAGGATAAAAGGAATTGATCCTAGTGTTAATTGTCTCATTGGAAAGCCTTCATCTATGGATAAAAAGTGTTCAAATCAAGTAATTCTAAACTCAGAAGTAAGACAGTGGGCTGAGGACTTACAAAGACAAGAAGGAGACAGTCTGCAGGATGATTATGTATCTGACTTGGCCAGTTATGCTCCAGTTTCACTAAAAAGAAATGATATGCAAGATTTGCGAATCATTTGGGAAAGTTGGGATTCAAACAAAAAATTGCAGTTTTATCAGACTTACGGAGATATCCCATATTTGCTCTATGTTGAAGTTGATGATGAATTACTCAGAGCCCTAATTCAATTCTGGAATCCAGGGTACAATTGCTTCACTTTCAATAAAGAGGACTTGGTCCCTACTATTGAAGAGTACACAACTTTGCTACATATCGAAGGGGCTTTGGAAAATCGAATCTATTCAAAGTCAATTAAAACTCAACCCTTTCGAGTTAAATTAGCAAAGATTGCCGGGGTACGAGAAGAATGGGTGGCATCCCGTACAAAACAAAAAGGCGAAAGCAAAGGCATTGCTTGGACCAACATTAAAGAACTTATTCAGAGTCATCCAGATATTAAAGTACGATTCGATTTATTTGCTCTGGGTATGTATGGTATGGTCATCTTCCCAAAAGTGTTGGGATATGTTGAAGCTGCAGTGGTAGATTTGTTTGAACAGCTACCGAAAAAGATTAATCCTATTTCTGCAATCCTAGCAGAGACCTTCAGATCGTTAAATGCTTGTAGAAGGCTAGGAGGTGGACGATTCTCAGGGTGTACCCAGTTGTTATATGTTTGGATCCGTAGTCATTTCTGGAGGACAGAAAAGGTTTCATACCGACGTTTTAATACGGATTACTCACCATTAAAAGAATTTATGGAGCAGGAATGGCCGAAAGAAATTAAGAAAGATATGTGGATTAATGCCTTTCGAATTCTACAAAGCAATGACGTTGTTTGGCGAGCCCCGTGGCAAATACAAAGGGAATTCTTTTACAAATGTGGAGATTACAACTGGATAATGCTGCTCGGATTATGGGGAGGAATTGGATATGCACCACTTCTGGTCATAAGACAGTATGAAGGTCGTCAATTTGTACCGGTCACTGCTGGATTACAGTCATCAAAGTTCGCATTTCATAGCAAAAATTATAAAAGAAGTATCATGGAAGCCGTTACAGCTTGGAAAACAACTTTTTGTATCCGAGCTAAAGCAGCAAAAGAAATGCTAACTCCTGATTATGAAGAATGGAGATCTGCCAGGAAAAATGAAAATATTCCTCTACCAGATCAAAAAGAGGATATCTCTATGGAAGATCGCATTAAGGTGGTTCCATCAGAGATTGAAATACTGAGAGCTGAGTTTAAAGCAGAAAGAGAAGGCTGGTCGAAAGAATTAGAGCAAATGAGATAAGATAAAGCTATGTTGGGGGTTGATATTGACTTTCATTCATCACAATGTGCAATGTTGAGAAAAGATA